AACTAAAGCAACTCCCTGCCATCGGGCCAGTGGCCGACTCCTGGCGGGCGACCCTATAGGACAGCAAAGACCTGTCCTATAAGACTAATCTGTGACATGAATAGAAAGCCTTGCTCATCTTTCTTCCACAGACGTTGGGTCACTATCCAGCAGCTGGCCTTGCGAGGAGCAGCCTGAGGTGTAACTCCCTAGGCCACGGGGCTCCTTTCAGGTGGAACAGTGGATCAGGCCACGTGGCTCCTTCCGGTGACTCTTGGGGTATGGGGTGAAGTTGAAGAATACTGATCTATTTGACAGGTCGCTAGATTAGGGACAAAGGTGGGGGGGGGTGTCTTGCTGAATGCCTTTGCTAAATGAAAACTAGCTGTTCATTGCCACAATAAAGGGGTTGGCAAGAAACCAGGCACAGTAATTAGATACCGATGGGAAAATCCAGAGTGAGCATGTGCAGGCTAAGGCCACCTAGGCATAGGTGAAACTAAACCTGGCCACAACTGAGACACATGCCATCACACAGGTGCGCTTAAACTCAGCCAACAAGGTTGGCCAATACCCTCAACCACGCCTCCCCAGCCAGTGGAGATAGGAGGGAATAAACGCCAACTATGGGCAGCCCTTGGTCCTTCTTACCTTTCCGGTATGCTCTGCAAGGGGGGTGGGGCTGGGGAAATCTCTCCTGCCTGTGGGTGTATGGGTGCTTGCTCTCTTGGCCTCTGCGGATTTTCCTGCTCTTGGTTCCACATGCGTGGCTTCCCACTTCTGTTCCGGAATTCTTTCCACATGGTTTTTCACGTTCAGTCTTGAACGCTGTGAGCTCCTTGCGCAGCCCTGCATGTTTTCCAGAAATACCTGAAGTTCCCCTTGGGTTACAAAAGTGCTCTGCTGCGTGAATTCTTTCAGCGTTGAGAAGCAAGAACTGAGGTAGACCACTCCAGAAACCTAACGTATTTCCTATGCATGTTCAAGAACTGAGGCAGACCACTCCCTCCAAGAACCTAACATATTATTCCCTGTGCATGTTCAAACGGGGAGGACCCTGGGGCCACCCATTGCAGAAGGGTCTTGGAGGGGATTGCTACATCAGATGGAGAATTTAGAGAATAGAACGGCAGATCACAGAGTATCAAGAGGAGGGCAAGGCTTAGGTGCACCCTAAAGGGATATTGGTTTGGGGTTCCAAGACCATCAATCTTCATGGGAGCTTCATTTTCCTCCTGAGGAGTGGCTAGTGGGTTTGAACTTCCAACCTTCAGGTTAGCAGCTGAGATGCAATCCGTTAATATGGCCCTTCTGGATGAAATTCCTTCTGTGGGTTAGTAGTTGGACTCTATGACGGTGGCTGTCATCCCATTTTGGAGGGTGTTCTCTGCTCTACTCTGCTTCTGAGAGGCAAGGATGGCAAGATTTCCTCTTACATTCTTTGGGCATATTGTCAGGAGAGACCAGTCCCTGGAAAAGGACATCATGTTTGGTAAAGTGGAGAGGTAGCCAAACAGTGGGAGGCACCTGACAAGATGGATTGACACTGTGGCTGCATCCATGGGCTCAGGCATAAGGGCGATGGCCAGGGTGGCGCAGCGCCGTGCAGTATTCCGTTCTGTTGTGCATGGGGTTTTTTAGTTTACGTTTGATGGGATTTGGGGGTACTCAAATCCACTGCCAGGAGTCGATGCCGACTCATGAGGAGCCTGTGGGGCAGGGTGGAGCTGCCCGGTGAGTGGCTGCCTTGTCTGAAGGGTCCTCTCCATTCTTGTGAGTGGGCAAACCTACGATATGGGACAAATCCTATCCCCACGTCTGTCACCCAGCCTGGGACCGCAAGGGATTGAGCCCCTCCGTGTGTGGTTTTGTGAGTCGCCATGGTAGTGACTCAGGGGTTCTGTGACCTCACGCTGATGGTCCCCCTCATCTGGGCTGAATTGTCTCTGCCCTGTGTAAGACTTAACAAAGGTGTCTCTATAAATTACATTTAAATCCAGGGCCTCTTCTCTCCCCTAGAACAAGACTTAACCGAAAAACTTATATAAAAATTTATGTGGAGGGTAGGAA